GTACAAAAATAGCGAAGAAAGAATAGACGAGCGCACGAATGCCCATCTTCCCGGATACATGGAGCAGAACAGCGCTCACTCCTCAACCCTGCTTCAAGTTCGCAGCTTTTCTTATCACAAGGAGAAGAAGGTTACGTGCAAGAACGGACAACGATATGGAAAAGGGGCTGAGAATGCCCAAAAACGAAAATCATCAGGGCCGGTAGTAATCCCTCGACCTGGCGGTAGATCTCGTCGGCAGATCGCTAGCACCTTTCCGTGAGGTGGCCAGAAGCTAAAACCCCAAATTTAGGCCGTCCCAGGCCTTTTTCAAAAAATTTTCTCGATGAAGATGCCACCTCGATCCTATAGAAACCTCCATCGAAATTTGCAATTCCAGAAATCCTTCTGTAGAAGAATATCTGGAAACGCAGGAGGAGCTGCCGGCAACTTCGCGAGGTTAGTTGCCGGCAACCTGCCGGCAGCTTGTCGAAATCCGCGAGATGGCAGCTGCCGGCAGGTCAGAGAGCACGAGAAATAGCGTGCTCTTTTGAGAGAGGAAACTGCCGGCATCTCGACGTGCCCCTACCACGTCGAGGTGCTGGCACCTTTGCCGACGGCGTCTGCGAGTTTGCGAATTGCGGCGATATCACACAATTCACGTCAAGCGAAAAATCCAAAATCTACTTTTCATCAAAAAACCATCATTTTTCTCATTATACGAGTTTTTCTTTTTCAAAACGACGATTTTCTTACAAAGAAAAAATCCAGTAATGCCTTAGAATCACAAAGAACACCATCTTTTTTGACAATCCCTTATAGATCTCGTTTGCACCGATTTCGCCCCTCTCTCGCTCATATCAATCAGCTGTTCTTTCAGGTCAAAGTCTCTCACGCAATGTATCGATCCCTCTTTCAGGCAGCCATTTACCAGCGCGTTCCCCCTATTGCTGGTGCAAACGGCAATGGCTGACCGAGTGGTCGAATGGTTAACGTGGCGGCACTTCAAATCAAGCAAGGTTCGACCGCGCGCGAGGTAGCAATTCTGCGGCTGTCAAAATTTAGTGTGCGAAATGATCGCGTGCTAAGGTTACATAAGATTATTAAAACCTACAATCACTCCGCAAGCTGCCGCCGAAGATGGCAACTTCCCCGCGATGTCTGCCTACTTGCCGGCATCTTTGATGCCACCAGGTAGGGTAGATTACTACCGGGCCCAGATAACAAGAGAAAAGAAAGCCTCAATTTATGTAAATTTAGAATTGCCCGCACACCCTAATTGTGGCAAATAGCTAAGTAAACGACGCAGCGGCTTCCTCGAACAAATGGAATAGGTTTGAGTAAAAAATAAAGCGAAGAGAAAATGGACGAGCACAAGAACACACGTTTTGTCGCAGAGCAGAAAGCGCTCATTCTTCAACCCCGCTTCGAGTTCGAAGTTCTGCTGAGCAAAAACGGAAGCGGGGTAGAGGAGTAAGGCCAAAATGAGAGAAATGGAAGAAAAACTGTCGAAGACGGTCAAAATTGTCCAACTCCCGCCGTTGAAAACGCGTGCGGGGCGGCTGCGGCGCATGCGGCACAGTTCAGGAACAGTTCCCGCATTGTACTGGAACTGTGCGGGAACTGTGCGGGAACATGGGAATCAGTACGAACCCAGCCTGAAGGAAAGAGTCTCACGTTGTCTGCTCAATTGATCGAACTGGCATTTGCTTAGTATCACCTCTGTTGAATATGTCTTTGATTACTGGGAAACCGTGCGGTGGTTGGGTTTCATAAGATGCGAGGTAAAAAGCGATAAAGGATACATATCGGATTTTATAGGCTATGGTATTTTTGTTTTATGATTCGATCGCATTGACGTGCAGCAGTTTAGCTCCTGCGTTGACTATGCTTTCAGTTAAAGTCGAGGGACTGTACAATGGTTGTGTTCTCTGAAGAAACGAAGTAGAAGCGGATAAATGAATCCATTTTTTAGATAATAGATTGAATTCAAAGCGAACAGATTCTTGGCTACTCCTAGGCCCTAGCAGTGGTGAAGCCTGTTGTTTGACAAACCCTCTAGATAACAAGATCAAATACAAATAATAGAACACACTGAAATTGAGCAAGGTAAAGAAAAACGCATTTGAAGCTTTTTAACAAATATTTTACCGCAATCAAGGAACGATGCATCGTAGTCTAAAACGAGGTTTAAAAAGAGAATTCTAGGAAAATTTCCATAAAAATCTAAAACAGCATAAAAAAGGTTATAAAAACGAAATATTTCGGTTTCGCTCTGATATTTTGGAGAAAACCCACTACACTTGTTTCATCTACATTCATTCCAATATAGTTACGTTCTCAACATTCCGGGGCTTGGACCCGGATCAGTTCTGTTTTTTAATCAGTAGGAGGTTGTGGTCTTTTATGTGGCTCAAAAGAAGGCTACTAGAGTACAGGGTTCTATGTATCGAGGAAATTTTAGGTCCCTTGAATATTTCAGAATACGGTCATGGCGTGATCGTAGTCAGTGAAATATTGAAGGGATCTGGGGAGTAGTTGCAAGCTTAGTAGAACTCACTGCAATGTGTACGAGCAGAGGTGCGATAGTCGGAGCCGATTCTCCGCCTACCTTCACTTTTGAGCTGGTACAGGGTGACTACCTTCACTTTTTGCTTTGAAATTTTTTTTCGCTAAAGCTCAAAAGAAGGAAAATAAGCAAAAGGAATGTAAAAGAAAGTATTAAGAGCATAATCTATGTATGTAGTCGATCCAGGCAGTAACCGCCGAGAACCAGAATTTCGAATGATAAAAAATTATTCCACTGTTACAAACCTGCTGGCTGAAGACCTCCGCAGTTGCGACTTCATAGGTTTTGAAGGGCAAGTGTTGTTCTACCAGACAATGATAGAATCAGTTTGATTTGAGGAGTGGCCGCCGAGAACGAGAATTTTGAAAAACCTTAAAAATTTTCTCAATTTTAGGTTGCTTAATGACAACTGACATTTAAACTCTTATAAATCCGGACTTTGAAGGTGTTTGATGTTGCGACTTCATAGGTTTTGTAGGGTGAGGTTTGCCCTATCAGAATGTGTCTTAACTGTACCGATCCATTGGAACACCGCCGAGATCCAGGCTCTTAAAAAAGCAGGTAAAAAACCGTTTTTCAGCTCATAACTTCTTCAGAACTGCATGCATCATGTTGCGACTTCATAGGTTAGATTCTCCTCTTCAAGAGCTTTCAGATGATATATAATATGTGGGGGATTCAATGTTTTTTGCGGCTCTAACCCGGGGTGGAGTACTCCTCTTCACTAATTCTCCACCCCGCCAATTTCAATGTATTGGCGGGAGGCCGCCAGTGGAGAATTAGTGAAGAGAGGTACTCCACCCCCGGGCATATGCCGTGGGAGACGTGAATCCCCCACATATTATATATCATCTGAAAGCTCTTGATGAGGAGAATCCAATCTATGAAGTCGCAACATGAATTATGTAATTCTGAAGAAGTTATGAGTGAAAAACGGTTTTTTACCTGCTTTTTTGAGAGCATGGATCTCGGCGATGTTTCAATGGATCGGTACAGTTAAGACACATTCAAGTAGAGCGATCCCTACATTACGGAACCTGTGAAGTCGCAACATCAAACACCTTCAAAGTCCGGATTTATAAGAGTTTAAATGTCAGTTGTCATTAAGCGACCTAAAATTGAGAAGATTTTTAAGGTTTTTCAAAATTCTCGTTCTCGGCGGCCACTCCTCAAATCAGACTGATTCTTTCACTGTGTGGTAGAACAACACTTACCCTTCAAAACCTATGAAGTCACAACTGCGGAGGTCTTCAGCCAGCAGATTTGTAACAGTGAATGATTTTTCATTATTTTATCATTCGAAATTCTGATTCTCGGCGGTTACTGCCTGGATCGACCGACTACATAGATATATGCTCTCAATACTTTCTTTTGCATTCGTTTTGCCTAATTTCCTTTTTTTCAGTTTCAGCAAAAAAATCAAAACCCAAAAGTCCGAATAAACCAAACCAAAAAACCCCAAAAACCCAAACCAACCCCAAAAAAACCCAAACCCAAAGTCCGTCCTGTGCTCCCCCCTCTCTACCCCCCCCCCTCAACGTTTTCGAGAGGTGAGTGTCCGGCACTACCACCTTCACTTTTGGCCGGTCAATGGTAGCTGCGACCCCCCCCCCCCGGTCGACATTTTTGGGAGGTGAGTGTCCGGCACTACCACCTTCACTTTTGGCCGGCCAGTGGTAGCTGGAACCACCTTCACTTTTGGGGGGCCCGGCTCCACCTATCGCGCCTCTGTGTACGAGGACATCAAGTATAATACATTCTACCTTCCTTTTTTTCCTTTTTTCTTGTTAATTCCTCTTTAAGATGCAAGCTGAGGAAGAGCTGCGTATAAAATTTTCTTTACTTTTGACCTCATTTCACAGATCAGTGCTGCATTTATCCGTGACGCCTCATTGTCCTGAATAGAGCTTCAGAAAGTTTTAAGTGCTGCTGCTGCATTCTGAGTTCTTCTGTACGAATTTCACTGTCAGCTAATCCGTAATTTTACATCTTATATTGAAAGCTTAATGTTTATATGTCCTGCTAGGTTCTGTCCTGCTCCGTTTTTCATCCTTGTTCATCCATTTCTCTCATTAAGCTTGAAGAAAGTTGTACTTCTTTGTGAAGTCAAGCATACTTCGTTTTCGCAAGTTTTTGGAGCCAATTACCGAGCCTTGTTGCAGTGTGGCTGATTAGCAAATTAGGTAAGTTAAAGGGTACGTAAAGTGTTATTCGTAGAATTTTCTTATAATTTTTTATCCCCACCTCTCAATGTTCCTGCTTACTGCTACTGCATATGCAAGAACTCCTCTTCAGAAAGGAATAAAGTGAAAGAACCACACCTACCAAACTGTGATAAAACTTGAGATGCATTCAAACCCTCCAAACTCCAAAGTGTTAAGTCGAATTATTCATGTAACAGTTCATAACACCAATAGAAATCTTTGCATAAATTGCACTAACAACTGAATGACTAGCAAATACTACTCCAATGATGTTTCGAACGTTGACTGTCACCATTTGAGTGCTTTTCGATTTCGACTTTGGGAACTTTCAGGCTCCTAAAAAAATTTTTGAATGTGTTTTAAACAATGACTGGATATTCACTGTCAATACCCATGTAAGTTACGTGCATGTCTGACAAAGCCCAATTTATGGATATTTTAGCAGCTGATTGGCTTGACCGCTACAAAAGTCTTCTTTTTATTTAAATGGGTGTATAGAAGGTCAAGATCATCACCCTTGAGTGAGTGTAAACAGAATCCACTCAGGACCATGTTTTCAATTTCAGGTAATTACTAGAGAATTAATTTTACTTTGCTTTCTGCCAAAAAATAACTTAGGTAAACTAGAGTCTATCAAGTCGAGGGAACGAAGTATAACCGATTCGACGTATGGCACATATCGATCGAGTGCATAAGTGCAAATTACTTTGATTGACCCCAATCTGATCATAACCTGGACTCTTAGACCGAACTGATTTTCTCACCAAAAAAAAACATTATCAATTTGCGCCCTTATTCTCTTGTCATGGTGCAAAATGAGATGTTCTACACATATTCTAAAATCAAATTACAGCAAGTTTAGCGAGCAAAGCTGCAGTGTAATTGGCTGAGTTCTTGATTTGTACCTTTTGCACTCCAGACTCAGATAAATCAAAGCTAGCGTTGTTTAGAATTATTAATTTTGAACTGTAGAGCTTTTCACCTCCTCTCGGCAGCACCCATGCTACCCATAGCCACAGATAGAACTATTCGATCGAGACCAGTACCGATACTTCGCATCCTGGTTTCACCGCTTCCATGTCTACTGACCGGCTGAAATATGGAAATCATCAAAATCGCGATCAAATAAAACATATTTTCACATGAGCAGTCTTAGTAGAATAGTATAAGGAAATGGTCAGTAGAAGAAAAGTATTGTGTCTGGAAGTGCAAGCGCAATTTTTTCAGTGCATGTATTGCAGAAAATGCTCTTTTCAGCCATCTCAGCCATTTTATAGAAAAACGTTAGGCCACTTTTATGTCAGAATAAAGGACAGAAGAAAGATGAGGACGCGATTGGTTGTGCTATGTAAAGGTGCACAATTTCATTGCTTTAATTCTGACCTGGATTGAAAGACAAAGATTTGTTATAAACACTTTAAGCTCACACATGAGGCAAAACGTCATTAACAGAACTGTTAGCTTGTCTCATAAGTCATAAGTCCTTTCATTTTTGAGTTTTTGCTGTGTTGAGTCATACAATTCTTATTCTAATTGAACATCAGGAAATTATTCGATAGAGCAAAGCAAGCTCTGTACGATAACGTTCATGCTTTTGCACCAGCTTTGACCCACCTCAGCTTGCATTCCAAAATTTAAAAGGTTTCGAATGCCCAGAAGATTGAAATTTTTTGAATTTTCGTTCAAAAAAGTCCTACAGATCTCTCACTCGTTTGCGCTTATTCATTCCACATCAGACACTCATATATGCCGTTGCTGTATTTTTTTAACTAGTGGACCAGTAATTAAAGGTGCTAGATTGCATTCGCGCTGGGACCACCACACGGTTTCCCGCTATTTGCACATTTTTAAATTGCGCTTACGTTTCTTTATATATTAGATGGCTAGAAAACAAGAATAAAAATTTCCATGTTTTTACCAAAGTGGAGTATACTAGTACAAGCCCCAGAAGTACAACCGTAGATTTTTAGTTTTCTACAAGCTTTGTTTCTCCAGAAATGTTGAATTAAGCGTAAAGAAGCCAAGTGAGGAAAGCTAATTTTGATATTTCTCAAGAACTAGGGCTCATAGAGAGCTAAGAATTTACGATTGTACTTCTAAAGGCTTGTAGTATATAACTGTAAGTGCAAGAAAAGCACAGAATCACTCTGGCTAAAAATGGAAAATTTTGTTTTCTTGATTTTTGGCTAATAAAAGAATGCAGCAACGACATTATGAGTGTCCGATGTGAAGTGTATAAATCCTTCAACATTTCAATAAATTTTAGGCTTTGGTTCTGAACTTGGGGTAGATCAAAGCTGGTACAAAAGCGTGAACGCCATCTCTTAGAGCTTGCTTTGCTCTATCGAATGGTATCCTGGTGTCTATTTATAGAATAAGATTTGTATAAACTAACACAGCAAATCTCAAAAAGGAAAAGACTTAGGACAATCTAATAGTTAGGATTGAAGGGAAAGGGAAAGGGAAAGGAAGTTGTAATGGTGAGGATAAAAATGCAACAACGAAAATAGTACCGGTCCAAATTCGACATTGTCATTTAAATCCTGAAATAGTATATGTGTTGGTTTTCACGGAAATATATTGATTTTGCGGCAAAATAAAATTTACTCAATATCTCGGTGTACTTATAATAAAAGTTGGATAAGGCTTACCTCCACCACCATGAAACCGCAACCAGTATCGAAGTATCGTACCGTTGTCGTTCGAGCTCTATTGTTCTTTGGCGATGGGAGCTGTAAGATTTAGTACAAATTAGAGAGATTAGAAATATAATATGTGTACACGTACAAAAAATTAATTTTGAAGCAAATGAAATGGTGATTTAGAATAGAGAGTCAGCTGAAAAATTGTTTACTTTGAAGAGTTTCCAAGTAATTTTTTTACTTCTTAGTTCCCTTTCTTCTTAACAGCCCTCTCACCTTCAAGTCTCTTTCAGTCCTGAACAGTACACAATTGCCAAGCGCATCTAACACTTCGCATCGAATCTTTGCATTACAGGCAATATAAATAGGAAGACGACAAGCGCTAAATTATATTAGGGTACTTGAGCATGGACTGGTAAATTACTATACAAATTTACCTTGCTAGCACAGTAAGAAGTGAAACTAAGTCGGATGATAGCGTATAAAACGGCCTTAGCTCTTCTGACAATAGTGAAGGCTGAAATGATAAAATTACAGGATTTTGTAAAAAAAAACTCTCTAAATTTTAGCGAGAATTAACAAGTGTACAAGTGGATTGATATTATGAGCCCTACCAAGGGTAGAAAAGTCGTGAAGAAAAAAACCATGAAAACAAGGTTTTACCGATACGTGCGAATGCTCGATGTAAACTTTTAAAAAAGTAATAGAAATATTAGGCTGGAAACTAAGTTTTGCAACTTGTTTCATAACTTCACTCTCATTCAACATGGCGCACTCAAACTTTGGCATCATGTAGAATGCAATGTGAGCTACAAGTGAGCACAAATTGTCTAAATTTTGAACACGAAGTAGAAAAGTTTCAGGCGTTTTTCGAAAACTAGTGGAATTTGAGAATTTTTGGGGTTTCAAGCTAAAATGAAGCCTTTGGCAGCCTAGAGCATGCGCAGTAATCCGAATTCGTCTACAAATTATTGCAAGAGGTTGACTCCTTTGGCCTAGCAAGAAAGAAACAAAATTTATGGGCATGTCGAGATTTGGCGTCCTCATAAAGTCGAACGAGTCGATGTACGCAAGAGCTGCTGGGGAAGACCGTCAAACCAAAGAGTCCGAAGCTCAAATTCCGCCGAGACTTTACATAGTAAGGTTATTTGACCTGGCAAACGCGAATATCACCTTTATTTGTTGAATCAACGTCTTTTTCCTCGTTTAGGGTGAGACCCCATATCGTACACCTACAGTAATCCTACAAAAAAGCCCTTATCACGCAATTTCACTATCGTTTTCGTGATCAGCATGTCGGATAACACCCCTACGCCAAGTTTCAGCCAAATCCGTCAAACTTTGAATTTTTCCCCTTCATACCATGCACCTACCGTAGCCCACACTGCGACGTCAGAATTTGGTAGGACAGCAGCTGCTCTTGTAGCTTACGTAATGACCAATGCAGTGGCAAAATTTGAGTGCGCCATGTGGACTGAGAGGGAATTTATGAGACCAGTTGCAAAACTTAGTTTCCAACCTAATAATAAGAAGGATTTTTTATACTTCCTAAAATTTTTGCGAAAAATTTAATTTTAAACTTAAAATTTAATTTTTCCTAAATTAAAAAAAATTTCCTAAAAATTATTTATCTAAAATTTCCGTATCCCCGAAATTTTAGATAAATAAAGCGCGGCTGCCGCCACCCCCCTCCCCCCGAAAATTTTTTTATGGAGCTAAATTGAGTTCTTAGATATTTTCAAAAATATTAATTACTTACAAGTATAAAACAAGTCGCTTGCACATTTTTGTATAATAGGTCACGTAAAGGGCCGGGCATACTTCAAGCGTTTTCAATCGCGACGCGATTTGGCAATATTCCAGGTGTCCATAACTCATTATAAGCACATTCAAATGTATAGAGGATAGGGCGTTTATCATCAGTTTACGTAAGTTATACACACTATGCATGTGCAGTTTGCTAATGTTGGATCCGAAGACTTCTGGCGAATTGCCAAATCGCGTCGCGACTGAAATCGCGTGAAGTATGCCCGGCCCTTAAGTAACAAAAATTTCGCGACCCATTTTCGGGGAGGGGGGGGGGGGCTCGATGCGCCACTGCCCTATACTTACTGTCATGATAATTTTTTTCACCCTCTGAGACAGCAGCATTTCGACTAAACGCGTAATTGTGGCTCAAAGTGATGTGTTTAGATTTGCTTTTGATCAAAATAATATCCTTTCCGTCTAGATCGTAGATCATTCTGTACTTTCCCAGCACGAAGGCCCAAAAAATAACTTTTTATATTGTTTATCCGACCATCGCTCAGGAAAAAAACAGGAAGTGGTGATAATTAGCACCTCCAATGGAGCATATCAAACTCTCCCCCTGGGAGAAGATTAGCATTGGCAAACAGCGATTCTCGTCCTTCCGGAGAAAATCGTTTTGGCACAGCTTACCTTGTCGATGAGCTCCCAACTGTAGACGATGACATTCAACAGATTTGAGCCAAGATATGTACATGTGACACAAACGAGCATTAGAGTTGCTGAGCGGATGTTCTTCTGAAAAAAGGCAGAACGTTAGTCAGTGGTTTGCAGAAAGATACATAAAGGAGAGCAACTTCTTAAGGAATCTCATGAACATCAGATGACTTTCGATATCGAGGGTAACTACCACTTATCGCCCATTAATCTGCTGGTTTCGTTATTCGTTAGCTTTCAAAATTTCTTTCCTGATTATGCGCGATTTGCGCGTATTTCCCAGATTTTGTACTTTCCAGATTGTCTGTAGCAGATATCCCCTTACTGCTGCGCAAAACAAATACGCTGTGGAGATCGAATGATAAAAAAATTCCCGAAAACTGGAAGCTAATTGTTGACAAGTCCTCTGAACTTTATATAGATAAAAATAAGATAAATCATTCAAATTACGTCAGGGAGTTGGTATAAAGATCCTGTCGTAAGAATTATCATACCAATTTTTATACGAAATCTACTTTGGAAAACTCGTTTTTCTCAAACCCTAAAAAGTAGATAAGATCTTCATTTTCTCTCCGTTTTCTGTTAGAATAAGATACATTCCTACAAAACGAGAAACGCGTACATGAGTTATAAAACTGTGCGAGGGACTTTTCTTTATGTCTAAACAATCAAGATAACTTTTGAAGCTAATGTTTTCGGAGTGGAGGCCATAAACCTGCGGTAATTCTGGAAAGCCCCAAAAATTTTTTCGAAGGAAGTGGCTAACGACCTGTGGCCTGCTGATCAAAAAGATTTTTTGTATCCTCTCGCCCCCCCCCCCCTCCCCCACTCCCGCACCCGAAGATAATTTCTTGAACAGCCAGCTACATATGTATGTGTAAAAGAGACTGAGTATCATGAAAAGGGGATTAAATTGAAGTAGGAGCATTCAAATGATGGCTCATGTATTTACAATCACATTTTCCAACTAAATATTTTCTAACTAACTCATAAATGGAAATATGATTGAGATATTGAAGTTACAATCTATTCCAGGTCTCTTTCTTCCAGACCAAAATGACGTTTTCCATTCTTTAGCCCAAGCTTTTCTTTTCCTGCTATACCCCTCCCCCCGCCCGCCTTTCCCCAAGAATTCTTAACGTCGATACTTTCCACTCCCTGCATGCCCCCTCACCGTCGAGTGCAATTCAGATGAAATTTCTGATTAGGAATTGACCTAATAGTCTTCTATGACGGCAAAGTGTCTCGAAATCGAATGAAGCTAGAAATTCATTTTGGAGCACTTCATGTTGTCGATCATGGGGTGCTGGAAAGAATGACGAGTCTGGAGAGACTAACTCGATGTTCCGAGGTAGCAAATCGGAAGAGTTTTGCTCCCTGATGTTGAATTCGAAGGCGACGAATGATGCCGAAGTTCAGATAGAAGCAAAGCACGAACGGAAGCACTATGGTGATGATACTGCGAAACCAGAACTAGAAACGGGGAATTTTTAGCAAAGTGGGAAAATGAAGAAGAATATGTGATTTACTTTGTAAACAGTTTTATATGGTTCAGTTTCGCTCCATTCACTAACAGTTGCTGTAAGAGCAGTGATACCTGTACAGTTTCCATTTGGGACTACCTGCAAAGGACGGTAAAGGTTTTAAGCATGTAGGTGAGTCAAAAAATGCAGCTTACCTCAACTTCAAAGTACATAGGAAGCTTAGCTATCATTGCGAATACTAGTGCTCCGGCCGATATGGCTAGGCGATGATGCCGAGCAAATTGATTCCGTATTTTTGAGATCGTTATATACCTAAACAAAGTAAAAAAACCTGAGATCAAGGTTGTAAAACGATATAAATGTCAAAAGGATGGAGAAATGATTATGTTCTGCTTTCCACATGTAGAAAACGTAATAATAATATAACTATGAAATCAATAGAAATGGATCAAGAGTGTGTGTGCCTTAAAATGAAGACAAAAAATTTGCTTAAATGAAACAATATTGCTGATTTATATAGAACGAATGACTCAAGTGAAATATGAGATGAATGTTAGTTGATATGCAAATAAAAAATGATGAGGAATTGGAATGATCGAAGAAATTTTGATTGTGAGAATACCCTTCAAAATGCGCACGGCCCATTTTGAACGTTGCCAATTTTTCTAGATAAATTTGCAGAAAAATATGCCCGAATGTTGATACTGTAAGAGTGGATGGATTTGTGTTTGTCCTGCTGTTTTTTAACACATTCACGACAATACGACCCACCGGTGGATCGTACATGTGCCTGCTGTTTCGAACAATACGACCCGCCGGTGGGTCGTGAGATTCCTGAAGCTCTAGCTTTGCCAGTAAACGGTGAAATGCTACGGGCTTCTGGCACATGATTGGAGACACCTTGGCCAAGCTCCAGCCAGAGTGGTCCGGGTTCGGGATACCGTAATGTAATGTGTACGGTGGGTATCCCGTAGATAGGGGGTAAGGCACAGACTGTAGCTAAAATTTTTCGCAAAGTGATGCTGTTTTTGAAAATTCACTTTAGTGCCTAAAATGTAAATTACAAAAAAATGAATGTAGATCTTAGTGCGTTGTGTGTAAGAGAGCAAAAAATGAATGAATCGGAACAACTAGTTTATTATAATTGCTTGATTGAGCAAATTAATCAATAATTGCACATTATTTAAGAATGACAGTACAGTTGAATGATTAAAACAGCGAAATGCTAGTACTTTAGATTTCCCGCTTACCTTTCGAACGCTGCAGCCACAATAAGAAAAGCTGAAGCCGAGATGAAAACATGTGATATGGTGATTATTAGTCTCATATACGACCACCATGCAGCGGCTAGAAAATCTGATGCAAAGTAATCCATGTAGATATTCACAGGGAAGAGCAGTATATAGGCAGCTGAAAAAAATGTAAATCGCGGTAGGAAGAAAATGTGATATCGTCGGGTTATTAGAGAAATGTGGGCATGTGAATCTCGTAAGGATGGTAAGTTTGTGAACCTCAATTTTGCAGAAAACGTGAAGGAGAAAGCTACGCAGAAGAATATTTTGAATCTTTAACCTTCAAGCGCACATGAGAGAAGGAGCAAAATTTGTGCAGTTAAGGGATAAAGCAGTATCAAAGTAAGTTTAAGTGCCTTAGTCATTGAGCAATTCTAAATTTTGGCCACTACCATACTCTCCTTGATGGTCGTCAGCGTTGTGTTGTGTAAATACGACCTGGTTTGAATTTAGAGTTATCTTTCTGAATAAATTATTTTATTCGTTTGAGCTGTATCTCAGATATCGGTGTGATGACCTTCTAATCAATATCCACAATGAATTGCTGTTACCGTCTGCCTTTAAATGCAGTGTCCCGGCAGATTCGGGTCCTGGGGGATATACGTGTGGTGGGGTTCGTAGTCACCCCACCGACCTACAGCTGCAGTCCGGCTGGGTGATGTTCCCCCTGGGCCGAGAAAATGGCCCTTGAACGGGCGCGCGCAACCCCAACTGGCGCGCGCTTGGACGGCCCTCCTCGAACATTCGGCGCGGGACCCTACGAGCGCTCTCCTCGGTGATGCATGCTATCCAAAGCAGGAATTACAGGCAGCAGGGTCTTCGTCTGAGGACCTCCCAACTTTCCATTGAAAATCTCGTCCGAGCTGCTTTTTTGGGATTAGGATAACGCCCTAAAATCGGCCTTTTCAGCCCGTTCAAAGCTCAAGTTCGGATTCTACGAGGCGAAAAGGCCTAAAACGTGCAAAAATGTGGAGGTGCAAAATCTGCCGGGACACTGCCTTTAATGTCTTCAATGTGATTAGCAGTGGCGGCCCCGCGGCTTCCGTCCATAGGGGGGGGGGGGAGAGGGGAGGGAGGGAATGTTTCTAACCAAAACTGGCATTAGCCACGCAGTTTAAGAAATTTTTTTCTCGCCTTCAGAATTTTTGCGGGCCCAAAACACCAAGATTTTGAAAAAGCGGGTCGCAGTATCAGTCATGAAAAAAAAATTTCCCTGAAAAAAATTTCCACATTGCTAGGAATTTTTTAAAGTCTTAAAAAATATTTCAATTATTTACAAATGTGAACAAGTCACTTGCGCACTCTTATGACTCATGTAACTTTCAAAAAGTGGCTTCCTCCCCCCCCCCCCCCCCCCCCTCCCCTTAGTGACCCACATTAGAAACAGTGGTCTTTGCCCATGTCACTCTTTAAAGGACCAAGTATAATTATCCCACTTTATGTTTTCATTCTGTAGCTGCTAGGGAGGAATTTGAAAATTCTGCATCACAATCCCTACCTCAAATGCTGGATAATCGGCTTCTTTTTCTGATCATCGATATGGAAAAGAAAGCTTTTAGTCTCTAATTGCTGTCTTCGCAATTGTTGCAAATGAAAATAAAAACCTTCTGCACAGAGACATAGAGTTCTGCATAAAAGTGAATGATAAAGATATAATATCAGCGTTTTTACTAGCGTTCTTTTTTTTCGGGCATTGATACCCCTCATCATGACTCAGATACTCTTATAACCTACGGGTGATTTGGCCAGCCTAGAGCACAAATCCGTCACTCCCGTCTCGATAAGAGCTCCCACGTAGCCCGAAGCTAAGAAAAACTAATGTCAGGATTCATTATGGTGTATGAGGACGAAAGCTCACTAGAGTAAACATACTACACAAGCACAACTTCCCGTTTCACAACTTTTTTGAGAAATAAATAAAGGATGACGATGAAACAGCACTGAATGAAAAAAAATTCACCCACCTGATAGAAAAGTATCAGCTAAGGCAAGAAATGTTAAGTAGATCAAACTTGACGACCGATATCGCTTATTTCGGACGAGAATGCAGAAAAGAAACATGTTGAAAATAACGGATATCGACGCGACTATGGCGCCAGCAACACCAACAAGAAATAATCTAAAAAAGAGAATTTTCGTGTTTCTGAATAGGTTGTACAGGAAAAATATTAAACTATAGTCAATGGCCTTATGGAGGTAAGAATTTCAAAAATCTGAAGTAGGGTGTGACATTTTTGCGAGAATGGGTGCGTGCTGCACATGGTGCATCATGCCGTGCTACACATGGTGCGTCACAGCATTATGCACCATTCGCAGCACTACACGTGCCTATATGTAGTCCTAGTGTACAGTTTTTATTTCCCCTCTTTTCCTTAATTCTAGAAAAAAGGTTGCTTGTTCCATTGCCACAGTCATTATTATTGCCGAAGTCACCAATATACAGGGTGTCCGTAAAAAATGTGCCTACTGTTTGATTGTGAATAACTCTCTTCTAACGAAGTCTTTCGAGAAGCTTTAGGCACCATTTTGTAGAGCTGGCTTCAACTTAGATTTACAGTATAGAGCGAATCGCCGATCTCTCATTCTTACTGTAGGATTACGGTAGAAACTTTGAACTCATTTTTCAGCTTTTTTCGCGTATTTTTTGAGTTAAGGGAAGGTGCAGTATGCACAGTACGCATACCGTAATTTTTATCGACAAATTACGGTAATGGGGATGTTGCAATTAGAATCAGCATCCTCAAGAACCTTAGTCTGAACTTTCTCAGAATTTAGAAAGGTTTTTGCAAGAGTTTTCTGGCTGTGAAAGGCTGAAAAATGAGTTCAAAGTTTCTACCGTAATCCTACAGTAAGAATGAGAGATCGGCGATTCGCTCTATACTGTAAATCTAAGTTGAAGCCAGATCTACAAAATGGTGCCTAAAGCTTCTCGAAAGACTTCGTTAGAAGAGAGTTATTCACAATCAAACAGTAGGCACATTTTTTACGGACACCCTGTATTTGGTAACTACGTTTTCGTGAGATTATCTCAGAGTACTCGCAAATTCCATTGTCCCTACAATTCATTTAGGCGCAGTTTCGTATGAAGCTTTCATATCAAAGATTGATGCTTGTGTAAAAAGAGTGACATCTGCCGTGAGAAAGTCGGAGAACTAGGATGCTGTATTAGCATCGTGACTGATGGAAAAGTAAATTCACTGTCAAATTTAGAATTGAAATAGTATTGTGCATGTTCAGATTCCTCGCCTTTTTCTGAGATTTTGAAGATTTGGCAAAGTTCCATATTTAAGGTAATGGGTAAGGAAATAAAGCTTATCTACCGGCATCATTCTCGCCCTCGCGGAAATGAGTCACAAATAATTTTACCTTCATTGTATAAAATTCTCTTGAGTTCTTTTTCGTTTCTTCAGGTTTTTATGGGCTTCCTGGAGCAAGTCACAAAAATACTTCGAGCACTAACTCTTCAGTAATTAAGTTGGAAATAAAGAACACGAAGATTTCGAAAAATTCAAAAAATAATCTTTATGTGTGTCTTGTATATATCGAAAATCTACATCCTTCCAATCTAATGGCGAAGAATTTATAGAACTTAGGAAGATTCTATAATCAGGTTTAAAGAAAATCAGTGATCAAAGCTTTGAAATAAAGGATGCTGCCGAAGTTCGGAACCAGGGCCCAGCATGAGTTCATTTCTAAGCTTCTTGGAAACGAAGTCCCTCTTGATTTTCGCGAAATTTTACGAATCCCCTTTGACTCTCAGCCCTGAACGTTAAAAACCCTCTAAAAACGAAACGTCGCAATTTTGGCCACAAAAACGATACCTTTGCTTCTTCGCCCCGAAAAGCGAACAGCCCATATGATCTGCGCCGGGCCCTGTGCCGAACCTATTTGACTTGCCAATTGCTTATTTTTTTCTTGAATTTACGGTATGTTATTCATATCGCCATCAGTGCAATAAACATGAAAACGAAGTTCTATTTGCAAACTGAGGGAGTATGAAAAAAAAGATGGTTATTTCAACAGACCAAAATGACCTTTTACTACCTCTAAAGTAATTTTATAAAAAATAAAGACTGCTTGCAACTCACCGTTCCTGTTCAGGTGGAATAATCGCACAATTTTCTTCCCACCAGTCATAATCGTCATCTACTGCGAGACTTTCGAGACTTTCTTCGGAATAATTCATTATCTGAAAAGCTGGTTTCGATAGACTTACTGGGACTATCGTAAATTGTTGAAACAAAACAACAACAATTACTGCGATATGAGAAATGTCAAAAAAACATGATCGGCATTTAAGAACGCAAGATAAAAAAAATCAGCAAATCAAAATTAACGATGGATTCTAATTGTAAATTTGATTTGCTGTTCTTCACCTTTGAAGGTGAAGCTATCACCTTCAAAAGTGAAGAAAAAGTAGCATCGAATACATTTTTAAATGCTTTTTGACCATTACCATTCGAGGTTGCAGTTTTCCAAAGAAAAGAAATTTTTGGGACGGACTAATATGACAGTTTAATGCTTGTATGGTAGTTTCAGACTGAAGCAGCATGATATTGAGAAAAATGATGCTCAGACAACAGAAACAGCATAGCAGCAGACAAAGAGAAAAAAGATAAGAATGAGGAACTAGCTTGCCCTTGTCAGCTTTAATAATTCAGCTATAGATAGCTTTCCTCTTTTATGTTATTTGTGCGCTGGTGCAAACCCATATATGATATTTAATGTATTAGGTTGTCTCATAACTTTTTTTTCATATTTGAAGCTCGAAAACAACATTTGAGAGCTAAGAAAACTACAAGGGTGCAAATTTACGGCTATATTTTAATGAATAAGAAATCTAATCACATATTTGCATGGAACACAGAACGGGTACAGGCATCTTAGCGCACGATTTTTTCCTAATATTTAGCCTTCAAAAAAAAACAGCAAATGTCCATGAATATTTAATTTAAAGAGTATACACTGATTTTTGGAACTTTTCAGAATTTGGCTCCAAGCTTCATATGAGTCAAGCTTTATGTATATAGGGCTTAGGAGCCCACTTGTAGAGCTCGCTTTGTTCTGTCGATTAGTACTCCGAAAACTGCCCAGAATATAGGAAGACTATGATCTATAACGGTGAGAAGTCAAAGTTGAAAAAATGAGATAATAAAAATTCGATAAAAAGGGGACGAAAAATGATGTGAGAGGAACGGGTGGCGCATCAGCTGTGCTCCGATCAAAGCCTATGCCACTTTTCCTGCGCTTTAATTTGTCTGTGTTTTCGCACCACGACTATTACGTCATGTAGACTTTGGAAATGGCAATCGAAATTGAGGAAGTAATGATTTTGCAAGTGGAAAAATGAAAACAGAGCTAGTTATGTAGGCGGAAGCAAAGTGTACATTTTTACGGATTTTCAAAGCAAGGACTCCATTAAGCTCTATTAGACTAAGGAAAAATTCATGTATGTTTTGCAAAGATCTGCCTACGACATTAAGTTGTTCAATGGTCTCAAGCAGAAAAATTTGTAGGTGCTAGTTCCTAGCTTACAGCAAATGAATATGTGGTAGAAGTAAGTACGTAGAAAGTGTACCTACAGATGGACAAATGCAACATGCAGCGCTTAATTTGAATTTCTTCTGTGTTTGCAAAATGGCTTTTTTGGAAAAGGTGTGGGCATTTTTGAGGCGAAAACAATTTCAAAAATTCTGAATGGACGACTAGCACAATATCATCAACATGAATTTTTCCACAGCTATAGTCTTTGCAGCTACACCAGCAGGTTGAACTCTGTGCATATCTTTGATAAAAAAGAATTTATTTTCGAATTTGACCTCAAAAATGTTTTGCCTACCCATGAAAAACCATTTGTAGATACAGAAGGGATTTGTTATCAAAGTTCTTTCTTTTATACTCAATGATGCAGCCGAACGAGCAGAAATCAAATGCAGAAAAATATTGCGTTTTTATTTTCAACAAACCAAAACCTTTCCTGAGTTTTGTTATAGCTGCAAATTTTGCACTACAGCTACCAGTCATTGTACAAATGTATTTCAAAGAACTTGTGGACTTTTAATGAGACAATTTTACGAAAGCAGCAATTTTTGGCATTTCACAGACTGAAAATCGATCAAAGTGCCCTGTTCCCACTTTCAATTTTTGATGATGCCAATTTTGTTATGTCTTGCTTCAAAGGATGTATTGAAGAACTGAATTGAAATTTTCACATTAGATTTTGCACAACTCTACTTGATTGATAACATAAAAAATCATCAAAACAGAAGAGAACAGCAGAGTACAGCTAAAAACTAACTAAAATGTGCAGAAACGGGAAACGGAAGAAGTTATAGCTTGAGACGACTCCAAAAAAATCAAATACCAAGAAAACTTGCAGCACTCTACCCTAACTCATTTAAGTCATTCATTTTCGAATTCATTCCAACCGAATTCTTATTGCTGGATCGGACAGAAGTTATACGATTTGAAGGCACTCAAAACAAAGAATTTTGATATTCTATTTGCGCAAAATAGTTTTTTTTACCTAGTTTTGATTCGAATATAATACACAAAAAAATGGTCCTTGCTAGATGTACATAGCTATCTATGAGCTGAAACAGAGATCAAAGAGTTGATGTGATGAAGAGGAGATCTGATTGCTCGTTTGATAAGAATAAGCAGTAATGAGTCAGTATGAAATTTTGACGTCAAAAAAGAACTAAACTATGCTCCTGCCATTTTTTGATAAGCGTAAAAAAACCTCTAACATCAGGTTACTGTAATTCCATTTCTTTGATCACATATCCATTACTTTTATTAAGGTTTCGCTCTGGACTTTTTATTTGAGCATTAGTTAGAAGACGCACAATGGAGTGGTGTAAATATTACAAAAGAATATTTTTATGGCACGTAAAAAGTGAATTTGCCAGAATTTGAAAGACTTTGCATGTCTGAAGAGCTAGCCTGCTATTAGTGAGGAAATGACATTACTGGGGGCGCAGATGTGAAGAGTCATTGCATCACATGCATGACCAAAAGGAAGCAAAATTTGAGGTCACTATGGGGGAATTTTGGTTTTCATTTTTTTTGTGACGCTCGAAATTTTTCGTGTGCATAGTACCACTATACTATACCTCATTCTCGATTTTCGGACTTTCAAACAGAACATATGCTCTTGGCCATGATCTCTTATCCATAGCCTAAGCTATTCACGCTAAATGAACAGTATTCGCGATAAAATTTGCGTCAAAGTGAATTGAAAATGAGTCTTGCAGGCTGTACGTAGCTATGCTTTCCAGATCGAACTTTCTCAGTTTTAGATCCATGCTAAAAAATTTTACCATTGCAGCACACAAAATCGGCTCTACTCGCAGCATTTATGGCGAGAAAAGTGAGAATTAAACAACGTAAGCAGTTGAAATATTGAGTTGAATATTGAGCAGTTGAAGTAGAAAAGAATTGTAACACAAAATTGCCGCAAAGCTAATATCCAGTGATGATCTGAGGGATTGTTCTTGCATATTTTCTGGATAACTGGATTCGGACTGATTTGCAGATCTTCAAGCAGCAGATGATATGAATAATTTGTAGCCAAATAAATGTTAGAAGACCGACACTCTTAGCGGACCAATCAGCGTCCTCGAGTACGGTAAATACGGTCTAGGCGAGACTTTAGAGTCAAATTTTTTAGAAACTAGTGTGATTTATATGAGCTGCGATTTAAACAATGGCTTGCCCAAGTCTCTTCAATCATTCTTTGCTTAATTTAGGTCCCCAGATTTGCCTAGACTCTGTCAATCGACAAACAGGAATAAAATGCAAGTTCATCGTCAAAATAATCTGTGAAGTATAATAGAACGAGTTGTAATTGAACCAGCGCCGCATTTTAGCTGTTGTTAAATCCTCCCTAAGCCCTAACAAGCTACGCAAAGTAAGCACAAAGACAATGAGCAACAATTGTACCTGAATACGATATGTTCCAAGTGCTACTTCTAGACAATGTCTACTCGTCTTATCTTGAAAAACCAAGGAAGCTTGAATAAATCAAACAGTTGAACTCATTGTCCTTGGCAGCAACATGGAACATCTTATAAGCATCATCTCATAATTAATTGTAAGAACCAAATTTGGCAATCAATGACGTCACTTAAGCTGATCAAAACTTTATCTACTTTATGTAAAGAATCCTATAGCGCTGGGTTCAAAGCACGTATTTGTAAATCATTGCTCCCCATTACGAGCATCTTTTTCCAAATTCGGGTTAAGGAAGAGCGAAACGGAGATAGAATTGGATAAAGTAGATATTTCATTTTCATTATTTTTTACGATAACATACCAAATCTTCATAAGTGTCCGAATCATGATTGGATAAATTGTTTCACAAAAGAATAAGAGACAAACCAACACTTGTTATAGTATAAAAAGAGCATGGTGGTCATAGAAGCTTGAAAAACTAGAAGTAGTCATTGGCACTTCTCAAACGGGCTAGAAAATATGATTCATCTACAGTATTCTTCTTCATCCGAAAGATTATGAGATATAAATTCAATTCAGTGTTCTTCTCCATCAGGCGGAAAGGTTATGAGATATCTATTGTTTCAGAAATGCTTCTTGTACTATATTGTTGAAAGGAAGCCACGATTCTTATAGAAGGGAAGCGTATGATATTTCGACCTACAAAAATTATTGAGGCTTTCAGAAGAAGGGGCAACAAGGCGTAGCCTCCTTCGCGTCATCGCGGCTGAAATCTCATCCACCCCTAGCTACGCCCCTTTAAGCCTACTCCATCCAGTGCAACTATTTCTATAAGAGATTACAAATGTCCTTTATATCAGTGCAGATCCTATGCTGAATAGTACCTTGAAGGAGACAAAAAAAAAACTCCCATAAAAATCTACTGCCTCAACTTACTGGAATCATGGAGCAGTCATATAAAGTATACATAGTTATATAAAGTGACGAGATAATCGTCCTGCTATACTCTTATTTTTACCTTGTTGACATCTAATCTATCATTCAGACATAAGAAGAAAGACGTCGGAAATATAGCTACTATTAACGTCATGTGAGCGAGTGTTTTGTTCAGTAACTGTTTGTGATATGAGCTTGGGAAAAAGGCAATGTATCAAAAAACTTGGCATAAACGAAACCATCCTAATTTCACGGGCACAAGACGCACCATTTTCGTTTGGGCTCGGGCATAGT